CTCCTAAGCTGGTGTCATCACATTAGTGGTGATCAATTCATGTAGAAGTTCTATAGTGACGCATTTGTTCTATTTTTTTTTTACATAATTGTAAACATTAATAAAAGTTTGAAACAATGCATAGGGTCAAACTGTACAGAGGTTATGGCATACATTTGATGTGAGAATATTCATTGGAGTCATGAGTGACTTGTAATTTAGCTTTTTATTTCAGCAGTATAGTAACCTAAATGCGGCACATTTTATTTTCTTATGAAATATATAATTGATAGATATTTTGCAGCTTGTTTTGCATTTTAATGGCAGGCTGTTCATCCATCCATCCATCCATCCATCCACCCGTCTGACCGTCCATCCATCCATCCATCCATCCATCCATCCATCCATCCATCCATCCATCCATCCATCCATCCATCCATCCATCCATCCATCCATCCATCCATCCACCCGTCTGACCGTCCATCCATCCATCCATCCATCTCCAGCTTCTTAAATAGCTCTGTCTTTACTGCCATACAGTAAGAGGCAGGTTCCACATTTGACAAGTTGACATTCCATCAAAGAGGTAACAAAAAGAGAGAAATTACTAAAAGTGAAGGAGAGAAAAAGAGAGAAGAAATCAAAGTCTGAAGAGAAAAAGCTTGTATTTTCATTCTGCACCAATCTGTTCTCATTTTGGCTTCAGAGATGGCTACATTGTATCAGGACTCTTAAAAAAAGGCACAAGGTGTTCTTGGCACCGGTAAATCTGCTGAAACCATTCTTCAGTGAGCATGTGTCAAAATCCTTCTGAGGAGATCAAATAAAATCTCAATTAGAAAATTACGACTAACGTGTTACTGTTTTGCTTTTACACTTTTTGTAGATACAAAATTTTAACATGATTCCATAAAATCCTAATAGAATGACAAAATATTTCATATGACATTAAGGGAGTGTTAATCATTGGCTGTACAGTAACCACAATCTGATCATAAGTAGGTTAAAGTTTTATCCTCAAGTGGATACTTTTTTTTAATTTTTTTTATCTCTGTTTCATAATTATTGGAAGCAGAAAAAAAATATTTTAACAATAAAATCCTTTTTTAAAAAGAAATATTTGAGGAGTTTTATTTTTTCAATTTCATCAGAATAGTCTATTCAGCAGCATGGTGGGTATGAAAATCTGCAGCAAATACATTTTTCCTATTTCTTTCAATCAAATTAAGAAGCACTTTGAGAAAAAAATGCTGAAGTCACTCGACAAGGACACTAATTGTTGATATGTGCATGTGTGTGTGTGTGTGTGTGTTTTGGCTACAAACTGAAAGCTGTAAGCCTGCCAAGATTGATTTTCTCGTGAATATGATCTTGTGAATACTGTGACAATGCAGTTGCCAGGTTACAGAAGCATATGTCAGACAAAAACACTCAAATGCATGTACAAGCAGCCATACCAGTAATCAGGTGTGAAAACAATGTTTCAAGGCCAGCCTTGCATCCATTACAGGAGCTGCAGTGGCAAGAAGCAAGTTATCTTTTTGTCAATTCATATATATTAAAATATGTCCATCATTTAGGGCAGCACTCTTATTGAGAAAATAGCCAGAGGTCAGTCTGAGTTATTTATAAATACCTGCTTGTGGAACAAGATATGTAGATTATTGCAGCTTCATAGAAGATTTCAGAAATACTGAACATAACTTAATAAAATCATTTTGTACTTTTCTGACCCTGATTATTTCAATGAAGTAATTCACTTAAATGTTAGAGATCAAACATAACTTTACAAATAGAGAAGGTTTGATGTCCATGTCAGCCATGCTTCTACAACTGCGTGTGTCCACACCGATAAAGAACAGTGTGAGAATTAAATTTTGTGAGCACTTTTATTGGGTTTTATTTTTTATTTTCCAAGATACTTTTTTGTCTGCACTGTAGGGTTTAGTATATGTACAAATGTTGATAGTGCTACAAGAAATTTATCCATAGGGATATACATTAGTGAGTAGAATTTTTTATACCTTTTTTTACAGCCCCTTGTAGTGTACCTGTTTATAGATCCTATGCCTGCAAAATGTGTACAAATTTTGGGAATGTTCAGACCTCTGAGAAGGCATTTCATTGGCATAAGAGTCCACAGAACACACCCAAACGTGGTGTCCAAACACCACGTCAGGGTTTTGGGACCAGACATAACCTTTTATTGAAAACAACTTGAAAACATTAGGTAATCAAAAATTAAGTCAATCATAGCGAAAGTTTCAAAATGGCATGGATTAAACGCAAACTATATGAATAAAATATATCACAGAAAATATTCACTGCTGTTTATTTTCCCTACAACTTTAAAGACATTTGGAAGCAAAAAAGATTTGCTTTATGTACGGTGACCAGATGTGAAACATTTGCATATTTGACTGTCAACAGACTGCAGGGTGCAGGGAATTACTAATGTCCTGATGCTGAGAGGCAAAAAGGCTGACAGCATTCCTAATGAGCCAGCTAGAGCTTGCTACAATAGACTCTGAATAGAAATAGCACATTTTGTTCACAGAAAATGACGTGAAAGACATTTTGAGTCGCTTTTGTCCAACAGAAGGGAGTCTGTGTTTCATTTAAAAAGAGTCTTAACACGTTTTTGTTTTTTTTTCATAGCAACTCTTATTGTAAAAAACCCACTAAAGATAATTTCAAAAAACATACTTGCTGTCTTTCTCTTTCAATAATCTTGTCTCCTAGCCCCTCTTCAATTAAACCTTTACAATTGTTCGCTTCCAGACATTACTTGCACAAGGGCAGATTTATAGTCGGATAATTTGTCAGAATCTGCTGAAATGGTTAGCGAGCGAATATAGGTTCATTAATTGATTGGATGTGGCCTGGGAGTGAGGGAAGCAGCACTGAGGTCTCTGATGAGAGGGGGATATGATGGTGTGGTAGCGAGAGGAGCAGGGCTTGTGAAAGGTTTAAAAACTGAAAGGGGAATGGAGGGGGAGTAATCCACTGAGTGCCCATAATGTAATGAGTCAGCCTTGCTTAATGGAGTCCATTTGAGGGGGGGGAAGGAGTTAGAAAAAGTATGCAGGGTGGTGTTCCTGGAGGTGCTCAGGTGTTGCTGAGAGAAAAGGCCAGACTGGAAGGATCAAAGGTGGCTGAACATTTGAGTTTTCTAAATGAATAATCATCAGACAAACAAAGGCTTTAAAGCAGGTCAACGATTGCAGCTTTGGTCTGTTGCTAAATTTTTTATTTATTTTTTGTTTTGTTTTGTTTTTTGTTTCATTTACGAAACATAGCTGCCTTTAATTCTGAGTGATTTGCTTAAAGATTCCAGACCTTTATTGACATAACTACACACTATAATCTCTGTTTATGAAAGCATGTTGGTGATTGCTTCGAACATTCCTAAAGCAAATCTGTTGAGACACCAAGTGAGATATAGAAATATTTATAGTTCATAAATTAGTCCATAAACTATTGGTAACCAATTAGCTCATGTAATTGTTTGCAGTAGAATCATATTAGGAAAGTTATGCTGGAAAGATGGCATGGTTGTGACACTTTCTCTCAAGGCAAGAGAGCAGAATAGTATTTGTGTCTTATGTGTTGGGACCATATCTGTTGTTCCTGCAGTTGTCATGTGCTTGTTTTGCCGTATGCAAGTAATCGGATGAGTTCTTTCTCCGCCAGCCTGCAGTGTTTTCATTTATTTTATTTTTTTTCAGGTCAGCTGCTATTTCACCCTGCTGTTTTCACGGACTGTTAGAAAATTTCCTAATTGGCAAATAAGTGTGTGATTTAAAGTTAGGAAGACAGAGTGTCGCAAGAGACTCATCTGCTTGTTTTGGACTGTGTAAAGAAGTGCAGAGGGAACACAAGTCCAAACACATGGACAGATGTGATGAGTGCTCCTGGCTGTGATACAAGTAGCACAGCACTGGAGATGGCACGGGCTTTTGTGTTCCAGCTTTACTACTAAAGTTTGAGCGCAAAACCCCTTTACTATCCTTCATTGTGGCTCGTATACTTTCTTTACAAATCCAAGCCGTAGTGAGATTGCATATTAGAAAACAGGATCCCAGAAACTCAGACTTGCTCAAAATAGTTTTTCTTCAATCTGTAAGGTGCAGCTGTTGTAAATGCATGAATTTTAAATGGTATCTAGGCCGGTGCTGAGACTCAGGTGGTCACCATGTGAGGGTATTTACAGTGAGCTGCCAAATGGACTGGGAACAGGAGGTCCCAGAGTCCTAATGAACCATTTAAAGCATGGCAACATTATTACCCAAAACAACATGCTGTAGCAATTCAAGTTTTAAATGTTTTTTTTTAATGTTTTTGTTATGGATTATTTGTTATTAAAAATTGATTTGTGTTTGCTTGATCTAACCTTTTAATGTGTGATATTTCATAAAAGTGAAATGGAGATTAATGGCAACAGAAATAGTGTGGAATATGAAATCTGGACAAAACGTGTAGAATAGGCTTATACATGTATACATTTCAGAAAGATGAACAAAAGAGCATTTTTATAGTACTCCATTCAATCTCAGTTTAGCCTGTTCCCCTCAGGGTCAGTCAATCAGAGCACCAGCTGATTCATGTCGACTTCCCAGTTTATCTCTCATCGACTGGGGTTTGAATTGGCAAAGGGGTAAACAAATCCTGAGTAATTTCTACAACACCTACAGAAACGCTTAAATGCTTTTTTGTTTGTTTTATTTTTCTTATGCCAAGCTTTAAATTTGGTTTTGGAATATTGTGCTGTGTACTTCGGTGTCAGAAAAGAAGCAAAAAAGTCAGCATATTGTTACCTTTTCTCAAGTCCATACCCATATGAAAACTCTATATTTAATATTCTAATTCAGTCAGATTTTCTGGTTGTGAACCTGGATCATTAATCTCATTTTTTTCTTCCCCCCTCTCCCCTCTTTCCCTTCTCTCCTCTTTTCACCATGAACCTTCCACTCGTCCTTATCCCCACAACATTTTGCATCCTCCTCTTTTCCAATGCTCAGGTCCCCCACCAGATGGGTGCCCTAACCTTTTACCGCTACGAACAGCCCATTGTAGACTACTGCCAGGCCCATCAACCCCTGCGGCTCAACATGGGATACGAAGGCCCACCTCAGGGACTGGAAGGACTTGAAGACTTGGGGCCATGTGACAGGGGCACGATACAGACGGTGGCCTTGCCTGCAGTGCCCTCTGTTGCCAGCATAGGTGGCCCTGTGCCAGGGGCCCGGTCCCCTCCTCCGTCCCTCATGCAACAAACTGAAGGCCCCAGCAGTGGCCCTTATCCTCCCCCAGAACGCACCGGAACTCTTAAATTTGGACGCTAAAGAGTCTGACTGTTAGAGGTGGGAGAAAAGCCTGTGATTCAACATTACTTTTGAAAGGAAGGGAGCAGGTGAGGTGGTTCAATGGGGCCTTGTTTATACCACATGGACGAACGGACTACATTTTCAAAATATTCCTGGAGGGTTTTGGCACTGGAAATACACAGTCTTACATTAATATAATATGGTGGAACATTCATCATTCTGAATTTCTTTTAAAAGCAGCTCATAGAAAAAAAAACCCTCACTACCTACTCATCAAAAGTAATTTAACAGATGATGAAAAGAGTTGCTTTGTGGCCGAATCTGGTCTTCATCATACCTGATGTCAGCCCAATGGCTTACGTGTTCACAGTGGCAGCAGTCAGCTTCTGCACTGTCAGGAGTGAAAGGGGACGTGCAATAAACAAAATGTCTCAATCATAGAACATGGCAGTAACGCGACAGATCTCTGAGGTTTTGTGAAGCACAGGAGGCTTCCTACTGTAATTAGAATATTCATCTCACAAGCTGTTGACAAAGTGAGACCTGCATTATCGTTCCGGAAATAATCACATTCAGACTTTCTTTTGTTCTGTTTTGTTGGATGTTGTATTTAGAACTGAATTCAATTTCTGTGCATGTTAAACCAAAGAGTTTATTAAGGACTTTCTTTAAGGCACATACATAAAATATCAGTTGTTTTACACAACAACCCCCTGCCAGTTCGCACTTAACCGCCAAAGCCCCCTGCTGTTTATGACAAACTTTGCAGATGAGCAAAGCAATCAAGCTTGAGTAAGGTCAGGTTCTGAACTGAGCTGTTGAACAGATTCATTATAGTCGTGAAATGTATAAGGGGAACCATGAACAACAGCTTCCAAAGCTGTATGTTCAAATAATAATAACAGAATACATATAGGAAGTAAATGGCTAATCACTGTATGTGAATATACCCCCAGCTGAATGACTCACTTTTCTTTAGGAAACCTTTCATGTGGATATTCATGAGAAAATAAGTACATTTATATGAACATGTGTACATATTATTCAAAAGGTTGAGCCTATTGAAAGAGAAACCACTCTCACTGCCCCAAAATTGTCATTTGAAACAAATCAATGATTGACTTTCATCAGAATGGACTACAGAAGGAGCAACGCGCTCCTCTTTCCCTGCCGCCACAGAGAACAACACTGCTGACTGGAGGCATGTTAAACCAGCAAGCTGACTTCTCTTTGACCTGCATATGAACCCATGGACTGTATTGGGAATGTTACAGACATGTTTATTTATTTTTTTTTTTTGTTCTATAAAGCGTGCAATGGAGTTTTATGCACTCAGTAACCCTGTGGCCGCTGTGTTGAGCACTTCTTATGGAGTCGTTGGGGACTTAACATACAGCAGCGACAGGCTGTCAAGTATAGTCTCTGGCTCCGGCCAGAGTGTTGTGGAAACTGACCACAACAAGCCGGGGTGACACACAGTTCAAACAGATCAATGCATCCTTACGATGGGAATATATGAAGCAAACTATTGTTTTTTTTTTTTCCTTTTCTTTTCTCTTTTTGAGATAAATCGAAAGTTTCTAAAGTGTTTAAAGATGATGTCAATAAATTCCATAAGACTCACAGAGGGACTAAATAAAACAGAACTCAATCATTGTGTAAATAAAAAAAAAGTCTTTAAGAAGAAAATAAAGGTACAAACTTCACTTCTTCTGAAACACAAACTGTGAACAGAAGAGGAGCCTTATTGACGTTCCAGTGGGAATACATTACCAGGACGACTCGGTGAGGAGGTTCCTATTGTAATGCTCTTGTTGTTTCAATGATAAATATTTTTCTATCTGCTCCCTTCATGATATTGCCATTTAATTCAAATGATATGGAGATTCTTTCTTAAACCCAGTTCATTTTACCGAATCGCATTTTGGAGGAAGGGTTGAAACCAGTATTATTTGTGACGTTCTCTGAATGGCCTCTGTATTCTTTGTTCTCACACTTGTACATGTTAGAGAGGTATACCTTCAGGTTGTTGTCACACGGTTTGTTATTTGTAACACAGTCTGTTCATCAACTTTTAGAATTTCCATGCTATCTGCCATTCAAAGATTTCCTGTGTGGAGAAGAAGTGTGCTAACTTGTGAGAAAATATGTTCTTGTTTTGATGTGCCATTATTTTTGTATGCGTTCTACCAAAAACCAGGCCCAGACACAAGTGACTCAAATATTATCACCGCATTGCAACCTCAAAAGGGTTCATTCCCGTTTATGTACAGGTCATTGCATTAAAAAAAATAAAAAATAAAAAAATACAGTTGAGTCACTCGATACAGTTGCTTTTTAGTGCTGGTGGAGTTTACTTTGTAATTACAGCTGTGCCAATGTCTTTATAACGGGAGCTCTCAGTTCTACCCATGTATTATTGTCTTGCCTTGCTCTATATCACTCCTATTAACTCCCTGGCCTGAATTTCATGTCTGCTGCTTGGTGACTCAGGTGAACCTGTTAAGCTTAGTTCTATTTCTGTCCGCATGTTTATATATTGGGAAACTTTGTCCAGCTGGGGAAGGAGACAAACCGTGAGACAGATATTTCCTGCCAGGAATGGCCTAGAACCAGCAGCACGTGTCTCTTACCACATCTCCGTTTCAAACGCATTTCATTTGCTGTTCATGCTCATGTCTTGTCTGATATAAAATTCCCCGACATTCTAAGCTACAAAGGAGAAAAAAACGCTTGTATCAGGCACGGAAAATCACAGGTGAAACTTTCCTTTTATATTCCCCCATGTATGTCTTATTTACATTGGGTTCAAAACATTAAAATTAGGTCATTTTGTTGGCAGCAAAAGATTAAAACGACTTTGTCCTCCACATGTAATTAGAAAATTGTAATGAAATGTTTGTATTTACAGATACAAACCAATGTTGGATTAATCGTCACTACATCCCTGAAAAAATCCGGTATGTTCAGCGGAACTTTGAATCCTGCTGCCAGTATTTATCCAGTCTTTTGTCCATTTCTTTTGCCTTCAGAGAGCTGGAAGCACAAGTGCTGCATGCTGTTGATGCATGCATGAGCTAAACTCCAGGACAGTCTGTGAGACCCATCCAGTGCCAACACTTTTTATGTTCTATTCCACTTTCTTAATACTTTTATGCACCATAACGGTCCATTCATCCCTTCCACACTCTGAGTTAGTCCTAACAAGGATTAAGTGTTTCCCTTATTTCTTCTTGCTTCAGAAGATAATAGTGAAAGTCTAAGGAAAAGTTGTAAAAACTGATGTACTTGAGAGTTTATGCTCAGAGAAATAAATATGCCTCTCTTATGGGAAAAGTATTGCAGATAAGATATAAAGGTGAAGACTTGGCGTGGACTGGTATGAAGTTCTCACAATATAACAACCCGAGAGAAAAAACATGTAGTTTAGTAGCATCATGATATTTAGACAAACAATTTTGACAAAAATTGTATTAGATGAGCACATTTATTTGATTAAAACAAGGCTATTGCTTCAGCTGGCAAATTATTGCTGCTCAGGTATCATTCCTCTAATTGGCTGATTAACTGACATGCTGCTTGTAGCTTAGGAACTGCTGTTTTAAAATGGTTTTACCTCAATAAAGCTATCTTTATTTAGGTGAAACTTAATAAATAGAGTAATTATTTTTATTATAATACTTCTGATAATAAAGATAAATATTTTTATTATCTTTATTATCATGGCTCACAGAGAGCCACGATGCGGTACTTTAGATCTCGGCTCCTTGTATATTTTACAATCAGAAATGTTTCAAAACACCAAAAGGTTCCTTTGCTGTAAGCATGGGAATAATGTGTTCTATATAATCATAGAAAAATCCAGAATAAAGTTAAAATAACTTTAAACAATAAGAAAGGTAGGAAGGAAAAAAATTACCATTTTAAAACTAATGAGAAATGCAACGGAAATTTGTCTTCACCTTGAATCATATATATATATATATATTTTTTTTAAACTCAGTCATTGACTGTCTCTACAATGATCACTGGGATGACTTTGTTTAATGCTGTCTTTGCAAACATGCTAATTGCAAATAAATGATGTTTTAAATTTAAAACTCCATGATCATTTTAGCTTTGCTTTCAAATAGTAAAAACCTTATTCTACAGTGACTTCTCTCAGTGTGTGACATTGTATAACCCCATTTCTTGAATTCTCCTGGTGGAGTGGTGGGAAAAAAAACTATTTCTATAAAATGTATTTCTATATTACAGTTTTGAAAGAAAATCTTGAATCAGCCAATATCAGACCCAAAATATAAAACATGTAGATTAGATGTTGTCCATTGGATAAATACAAGCTATTTTACTTAATTACTGTTGCAGATTCCTGAGCAATCTAAGTAACTTTTCAGTTTTTATTTTTGTTCTGTAAGTCATGATACAACCTCAGCCAAACTGTGACTTTAAAGAAAAAGACATTCCATGCTGTGTTTATATTATCCATACACATAATTTACAAGTCACTATTAACTTGCCTGTCTAGTGTATACACAGTCATGCTTAAACGCATATGTAAACACAAGAAGCAAAGTAGTAACAAAAAAGGACATTACATATATCTAAACAATAATAAACCGCTGCAGGACTTGACACAGCTATCCATTCCAGTTCACCCAAGGCCATCTGTGACGGTTCACTAGGAAGTAATACATTACCTGGTAAACACAGTTGAAAAATTAATTTTGAGCCACACATGGATTCGCGACTTGTTCTTTCTTCTATGCCATTCATCTGTGTCTTACCAGCAGGCAGTACTGGAGTATGCCGTACATTCATGGGTCTTCAGAGTCAAGTTAGCATGTGTACATGTGGAGACTGGGACCGGCTAGCCCTTATGATGTGCCAATTCCCAGTTGGATTTTCTTGAATTTGCTGGATGTATTTGGTCCTACAACATTGAGACATTTGAAAGACAATGAGACTTGAAGCATCGCTACTGATTGAGCTCCCCTGCATGTACCCAGAAGCCCTGTTTGCGTGCGTATGTGTGTGTGTGTCTGCGTCTACTGTACAACAGCACCTACTCCTCTACCTCCTCTGAATGAACGTCACCATTACTGATGTTCTTGCCAACCCGCACCCCATTGATTGTTATTGTTCCACGCTGTTTCACATTAGCAGGAAGTCTTTAACCTTCGACCCTCGTTGTTCCAGCTTTGTTTTTCTGCCATTGCTCATGTCAGAGGTGGCACAGAAAAAGAAAGGCATGATCATTAACCTCTGTCGGGAAGACACACATTTTTGTTTGTCTGACAAAGCCCTAATTGGATTTAATGTAAGCACTTAAGAGAAGAAGTTTTTTCTTTTTCTTACATCTAAATGTGCTTAATTGTTCATTTGCACTTGGAATGAGAATGTTGTGTGAGAGCAAGCAGCAGGATCCTGACAGAGAGCAATATCAGAATTAGTCATTGTTACATGTGGGGTTAAACGCTTTTCCATTTTTGTTTTTCATTTTTTTTTTTTTTTATGTTTGCTCCTTTCTGAATGTTTTCCATCCAACCACAGAATCCCCACCGACTCTGTTTCATCCATTTCCTGCACAGAGTCTTGTTTCTTTTTTATGTAACTTGTAAATATGCGCTTTACTGTTTTCTTTACTAGTTGGTTCGTTGTTACTTTTTTAAAACTTTTATTTTGTTTTTTAATTATTATTGTATCAAAAACTAAGGCTTTTTTTTTCTGTGAAGACCTGGTCCAAGCGCAAAAATATGGCTCTTCTATGAGTATATTATTGTCAGAAAATGTTTTGTAAAAATTTTGATGATGATATAAGAAATAAAACTATAAAGGTGGGAAAGTGTTGTGTTTGTTCTCCCTCATCTTTCACACAGCATTGCAATGAACTACTTTCTAAGAAGACAAGAGAGAACTTTTTTGTCCCATTAATTCATTATTTGTATGTTTTGTTTTTCTATCATGTTAAATGTCAAAACAGAGGTTCAGACAGCTAATAACTATTAGAAAAGAGTAAAAAATACTTCAAGTTTTACTTTCAAATTTTAACTGTATTATTATTTTTTTGAACTGCTGACTTAACAGGTCTCCAGAAAACAGTTGTGTTTGTTTGACAAGAAAAGGAACCCTCAAACTGTCATTGTTGGAGAAGCTGGCTGTTCACAGAGTTCTGCATCCAAGCATATTGACAGAAAATTACAGAAATTAAAATTATTTTAAAAAGCTTGAAATATTTTACTTTATGTGTAATATAAATCTATTAAATTCTTAGATCAAGAAATATTGCTCTCATATGCAATGTTCTATTTTTGAAGCGAGAGTCGAGTCTTTCAGTTAAGTTCCGTAAGTGTGTTCTTTTATGTTCTTCATTTGATCCTTTTTTTCTTAATAAGGATGTTATGTTAGCAAGCAAATATAATATTTTACTGAACTTTGCAACTTTGTTTTGTTTTTAACTATCTAGTTAATTATGGAGAAACCAGCTTTTGTCATGAAGCCCTACAATCAATTGCTTTACTAAGACTGCAAGCACATTTGATGTTTTTTTTTTTTTTCTGTTGTTGTTTTTGTTCCATTTTTCACTAAGTATCAGTAGATAATCTGTGGCATATCTGATTCCAATCAAAACGTTTGCAGGACAGCTTTTTTTTTCAAGCGCTCTACTCTAGTTTTATACATCTTATACGTTGCAGCTCCCACTTCCATCACAGAGTTTCTGATTATTTTGCTGGCATTGAAAAGACAGAGACAGGCATCAAAAGAGTAGTCCTGGTAAATGTGAGGGATTTGTTATGAGTGTAAAAAACACCAACAGCGTGGGAAGAGTGCACTGCAGAAACGGCTGATCTGTTTGCTTCAGCCTGCTGTCACTTTAGATGCACACGTCATGCCATCACTGCCTTGGAGGAACAAGACAGGGCCGCTCACAGTCCAGCTCACAGCAGTTTTCAGGACATGAGGTCCTGCTATCTTTTACAATTTGTCTCCATTGATCATGTTTCCTAAGGAGGACCATCAGCACAAATGTCAGGAGGTTATTCAGTCAAAAAACTTGTTATTGTCTAACTGAGCCAATATAGAAAAATAATATGTACTTTGGCAGAATGTTAACATTTAGACCGTCAGTTACTGGCAGTCCTTAGCTTAAGAAACATACAGTTCCTTAAACAAGAAAATTACATAATACAAAAATATAGTTCAGTCATACCTTAAACTGTTACCAATTCAATTGAGTTCATTTATATTACATTATTTCAAAACACAGGTGGTGTAAAGGGACCTTGTAAAAACCGTCCAGTTCAGATGATA